GTCGCATTAACTTACAGAAGACAAGCAGACAACATAGCATGAGTCAGCAAATGCAATAAAGGAGTAGAATTTAACAAGGAGAAATTGGAAAATGCACAGTCAGGGCCACCTCATCACTCTGACTCTGACCCCTTCCTGTGACAGACTCCCTGAAGTGCATTCTGGGAGCAGAGCCATGCAGGTAAATCAGGTGAGGAGTCAGGGTCGGGAGGAGGCTGGCTGCCACCAAGAAGAGTTGGTTTTGGGAGGGGTTGATCTGGGAGAAATTAATGGAACAGATCCCTGCTGGGCCTGTTCAGCTGTGACTACACGGGGGCTTCATAGCTGCCTGAGGTGAGGAGCGGCCAGGCAGGAGGAGAGGAGGAGAGAGACATAAAGAAGGAAGAGGCAGTGAGGAAACACCAGGAGTCAGAACTGGCTGAAGCTGGTGGCTCTGGGCCCAGTTTCAGCTCCCAGAGCTGGGTCCTGGGTGCTGGATGCTCTTATAGGGTCTTAACTGCAACTCCTCGCCCAGGGGTAAGAGATTAGGAAAGGAGCAGCCAAAAGTTCCAACCCAGAGAAGTCCTCTGTTGTTTCCCTCTAGAAAACAAACTAGTTGTGTGTTTTTGTTATAAATATATTTTTTTAATTGATTTCAGAGAGTAAAGGAAAGGGAGAGAGAGAGAAACATCAATGATGAGATAGAATAATTGATCGACTGTTTCCCGCACGCCCCCTACTGGGGATTGAGCCTGAATTCCAGGCATGTGCCCTGAACGGGAATTGAGCTGTGACCTGGTTCATAGGTCAGTGCTCCATCACTAAGCCATGCCAGCTGTTCCTAGTTTATTTTTTAAATAAACTTCATATTTGTAACAATTTTAGATTTATAAAATAACAGTGAAGCTATTACAGAGTTCCCATAACCCCCTCTGCCAGTTTCCCCTATGAGTGACTTACATTAGTGTGGAAACAAGGTGGCGTGCCACACCCTGGGTGAGTCTGAGAGCAGAGGGCACTGCAGCTCTCAGAAGGAAGACTTCCAGGCTCCACGGAGCTAGGGTGCAGGACACGGGCCTGGATGGACCAGGTCCCAGAGATCCCTCAGGTCATGGCCCCACTTTCTTGCGGACCACACTTCTGGGTCTCAAGCTCCCACTCCCTCATCCTTGCCTCTTACCAGACTCCTCATCTGTCCTTGCCAGGTCTGCTTAGCAGCTCCAGGCACCCTCATAAATCAGGGCTCCTTGCCCTTTCATACCCTGGCTCTTGGTGCACACAGCCTTTTGGGCCGGTGGAGCCTGAAATAAAATCCTCCCAGGCACGGAGACCCTGAGAAGCCCCCCACAGAGCTAGTCAGCCCCCAGCAAGGCTTCTCTTCGTTCCACCTGGGGGGCCCTGCTGTCCAGGCCCCTCCTGTCTAGTTCTTTCCTTTGCAGTGTCCCAGCCTCTCCCCTCCTTACTCACCTGGAAGCCTCTGTGCATGAGAGCTGCACGCCTCTTCCCAGGCTGTTTCCTGGGGTGATTGTCCAGGGGGAGCGTCCCGGTTGTCGCCCAGATCTGAGGGTGGGGCAGGTGCCACGGGCTCACCCAGGCTTGCACTGCCTCGGTGTGGCCGCCCTTCCCCTGTGCTCAAGTGGGACGTTGCAGCACTGTGAGACCGGCTGAGTTAACATTATCCTTCAGACACAGGAGAGAGGCTCTGAGGTTCAACACCTTGACTCAAATCCCATGGTTCGGTTTTCATGGTCCCTTGTCTCATGCCTCCACTGCCTTAGGACATTTGTGATTTTGTGTTCATTGGTGTGATTACTTGAATTCTATCTGTATTTCCCTCCAAGTACGACAGCTTTGCCCACCATTCTATTCCCAGTGCCTCGTCCACTGGCTGACACACAGATGCTCCATAAATGTTTTTAAATCATTGGATAAATGCATGAGTTAGAGGAAGAGCACTCATTTATTCAACAATGGATTTGGTGGGTCTTGGGGATTACAGATAAATAAGATGTAACCCCCCACCACCACCATCCTTGAAGAAGTCAGTCTTGTGAGGAAGACAGACTTGTAAATAGGAAATTACAATATGATGCATAAAAACACCTTCATGAAGGAATGCCCCCCATGCTAGGACAACAGGATCTAAGTCTTTCCTGGAGGAGGGACTTGCAGGATGAGTGTTGGGGCTGAGCAGAGTGAGAGAAGGGCACTCTTAGCCCGGGGTCTGGGGGTGGTGACAATGAGTTCCACATCGGAGCCAATTTGAAACAGTCATATGATTTCTTGAACCAACAGCTCCGATATAATCTCCATTCTGCTCTCTCTCTCTCTCATCTGTAATTCCATCCCACACCTCATCGAGCCGGTAGGCCCCAGCTGTCTGCAGTCCATGCAGTCTTCCTGGGCTTGTCTTTTACTCCCTTCTCGGACCGGGATCTAGCGAGGGTTCCTCCCACTTGCAGTCCCCAATCCCCTTGCCTTTTCTGTGTAATTAATGCTGTGATGTAAGACATTCCGGTGCACATGTGTACACAGAGGAAGGAGTCGGGATTCTTGGGGACCAGGATGGGCTGTGGGCTTCACCTGAGGGATGGATGAAAAAGGGTTGCTTATAAGTTAAGTACCAGAGGGAAAGGTTAGTGCCATGGTCGGCAAACTGCGGCTTGCGAGTCACACGCGGCTCTTTGGCCCCTTGAGTGTGGCTCTTCCACAAAATACCACGGCCTCGGTGAGTCTATTTTGAAGAAGTGGCGTTAGAAGAAGTTTTACGTTTAAAAAATTGGGCTCTCAAAAAGAAATGTCCAACTGTTATACTGTTGCTATTTGGCTCTATTGATTAATGAGTTTGCCGACCATCTATTGTGTGAGGAGCAGGAGGGAGTCAGCGGCAGTCACTTCGGGACCGAAGGGCTGGGCTGTGTTAGATGTGCCTGCAATGGAGGAGGCCCCCATCACACTGATAAATGTCACTGAAAGGTGACAAATGTCAGCTCCGGGGAGGAAGGCAGGCCACGTGCTTCTACAGTTGCAGTAATTTTTTTTTTTTTGTATTTTTAAAAAATATATTTTATTGAGTTTTTACAGAGAGGAAGAGAGAGATAGAGATAGTTTGGAACATCGATGAAAGAGAAACATCGATCAGCTGCCTCTTGCACACCCCCTACTGGGGATATACCCGCAACCAAGGTACATGCCCTTGACCGGAATTGAACCTGGGACCTTTCAGTTCGTAGGCCGACGCTCTATCCACTGAGCCAAACCGGTTTTGGCCAGATGCAGGGGACCCTAGCAATTTAACCTAAACTGACTTCATGATTTGGTTTTATGCTACACACACACACACACACACACAGAGGACCGCTGGACCCCTCCCTGCTGTTTTTACATCAATTTTATTCTTACTTGTATCTTTACAGAAAATGGCACAGAAATCACAGGTTTGGAATACCTAGGAGTTATTACAGTTCATATTTCAAATACCTCAATATCAAGGCTCTTTCTCCTCACTCTATGTACATTATTTACACACTGGGGGCTACAGTCTAACACGTCAAATCAACAGGAGGCAGAGACAAGAACCGGGGGAGAGTTCTGTGAGTGGAATGAAGAAGAAATCAACTTTTGACAGGGAATTAAAATCCCAGTTCACTGTCTCAGGCCTTTCTTGAGGTATTCCCTGCAGAAGAGGTGGGATGGTGAGGAGATGTGGTGGGGTGAGGGCGACATGAGGGCCTGGCGGTGAAGGGACAGCTGCAGAGAGGTCGCCAGTAAGCTCAGCTCCTCTTGGCAGACAGGAAGAGACCCTTTGCCCCCTACCCCCACATGGTCACTGCCTGACTGATTCTAGTGCACATGCACCTGGGCACGAAGCTGTGTGCCTATTGCTTAGTTTGTAGTTTGGGTCTCACACTGGCTCCTGCGAGCCTTTTCTCATTCCCTCCTTGTGACAAAACCTATATAGCCCCAGGCCCTCTCCAGGCTTGGCCTTCCCAGGATAGCCTGGGTGGAATTGGGTCAAGGTCTGTGGCTCCCCAGGTGTTCAGTTAACAGCTGGATTGGCTGCTCCAAGGCAGGGCGCATGCGAACCATTAATTTGCGAGAAGCTCCAGGGGAAGGGCGCCTTGCACAGCGAGTCAGGGTCACAGGCAGCACATCGGGGAGTGGGTGCTTCAGAGCACAGCCCAAGGGCCCTGGTGGAGGGGGTGCCCCCCCCCCAGCAGTGCAGAGTGCCACGGCATGGGTGAGAGGTGCCCCTGGCTGCAGGGCACGGGCCCTGGACTCACTACAGGTGTACATCATCTCACGTGTGGCCAGCACCGGTGCTGGGAGGGATGGTGGGGCAGGATGGGTGTGGAGAGGCCAGGTTCCTCGGGGTGACCATGGAGGGCGGCCGAGGGGCCCAGGCTGAGTCTTCCCTCCCACGTTTAATCTGGGCCCCACGGAGGGGGTGGAGCAGAGGCTGTACCTGGGCCTGCAGGGCAGTACATTCACACGGCGGAAGCCCAGGTCCAGGCCCCCGGGAAAGGACAGGTTGAGGGGAGAAGTTGGCTGAGGGTGGGGGTGCTCAGGACATTGGCCTTGGAGTGCAGGGCCCCTCCCCCTGACGGGGCCGGGCAGGCCATGGGCTGTGGGCCTGGTGGGGGGTGGAGCAGAATCCACAGGGCGTTAGAGCTGGGGGGAGGGTCTAGAGCAAGAGGACCGTGAGGGGTGGATCCGGACGGTGAGAGTGGCCAGGGATTGAATGAACGAGGCTCGAGGGGGCGGTGTGGGCAGCAGAAAGGCTTCTGAGGCAGGGCCGTTGGGCTGAGGAGGAGGCTGACAAGGTCAAGACTAGGAAGGGGACACCAGAGTGGTGGTCCGAAGCCTTGGCCAGAACGGAGCTGTGTCACGGAGGGTCTATGGGGCAGGGGAGGGTGGCAAAGGCTGGGCTGAGCCCGGCCTCGAGAACGCCTCCTGGCTCCCCGGGCCCCAAGGAGAGCAGAGTCCTGGGCTCCGGTGGCAGCGTGCCCTTGACCTTTGACCTAAGCCACGTCCTCCAGCTGCCGGGGACTCGGCGTCTCCCCCGGCCTGTCCTCGTCCGCGGCCGCCTCCTCCTCGGGCTCCTCGGCGTCCCGGGCCAGGCTGCGGGGCCCGGACACAGTCCCCAGCACCTTGGTGCTGTGCTCCTGCGCCCTGGCCCGGAGCGCCGCGATGCTGTTCTCCCTCAGTTCCTCCTGGGACAGGGCCGCGGGGCCGCCGGGGCCCACCTCCTCCGGCTCCATCTGATCCAGCTTGGGCAGGGCCTGGCGCTCCACCTCGGGCTTCCTCCCCGACTCGGCCGCCGCCTCCAGCGACTTTTTGTGCATCCCTAAAAAGAAGTGTTGGTATTCGGGTTTAGAAAAGCGCCTGGGAAAGCCATCTTGAACTGAAAACGGCAAAGATAGAGAGAGGCCAGAATTAAGGACGAGCAGAAAGCCTTGCTTCACACACCACAGTCACACGCGTCCCAGGGCGGGGCCAGGGCTGCAGAGGGCTTCTCCCAGCCACGCCCTGGGCACTGCCCCCCTGGCAGCCCTCTGTCCCTTCCCAAGCAGTGCTTGCTCCCTATCCCTCCCTCCTGGGATTCCAGATTGTAGGACCCCAAGACAGGCTGGTGCCCTAAGGCAGAGGCCCATTGGCAGGCGGGGGAAGATGGCAGGTGGAGAGATTCAGGGGGAAAGAAGGCCTTTGGGCAAAGCCAGAATGGCGGCCAAAAGGACCTAGGGGTCCCCCAGGCCCCAAGAGGGGCAGTTTCATTCTTCACAAGCGCACCTCCCACCAGGGAAGGAAGGGGTTCAGACCCTGGGGCACCAGCCACACCCCCCCACAGGACAAAAGAACCCACAGTCAGGGACCTGTCCAGGATGGACGTCTAGGCACCAGGGGTAGATGCAGGAGGGATATCAAGCGCTGGGCCCCGCCCACACGGAGCCCCCCAAGGGAGCTGGGGGCTGCTTTGGAGGCCTCCCTTCTGCTCCGCTGCTCCGCCGGGCCCCTTTGCTCCTGGGCCTGTCCCCTCCTGGGGGAGCCCACTCCCCTGGCCTCAGGGGCAGGGCCCCAAGGAGGGCGTGGGCTCTTACCGAGCAGCCACGGGGCGCAGGAGTCCATGATGCCGTCCTTGGCGGACTTGAGGATGGACTCGGGCAGGGGGATGGAGTGCCGCACCATGGCCCCGTACAGCCCGTACTCCGCCATGACGCTGCTCCGGCCCCAGCACTTCTCCCGCTTCCTCCACTTGGCTCTTCGGTTCTGGAACCAGACCTGCCGGTGCAGGCGAACAGGTCAGGGGCGTGTCCGAGGGGCCCTGGGCCCAGGCCTCTCCCCTCCCCACCCCCCATGTCTGTCTGGAGTCAGGGTCTCCACCCCTTCCGTACTCGGGACCGCCGGTTTCTCCAGGTGGGTGTCCTTACTCAAGCCCCATGGAACCAGGGGGTTCCTCCAGGCTCAGGGGTATCCACCAGAATGAGACCGTCCCGTCCTAGGGGGGCTCTCACTGTCCTGGGAGGGTCTGATGGGTGAAATGCACTTTTTTTTTTTTTTTTTTTTTTTAATGAGACAAGGACACCTCTTGGACAGGGTCCTGCAGGTGAGCAGTGCCCAATGTGGTCCTCAGTTTGCAGCTGAGAAGCCTGACCCTGGAAGCTCCTATACTCAGACCTCAGGGCATAAAGAGAATGTTCTGACTTTCAGAGACACACGTTCCTTCCCAGGGGCTGGACTAGCCGAGTTCAGAGCTCCCTCTCCCCGGAGCCCCGTGCAGTCTCCGAAGGCTTCCAGGGAGCAGGAAGGTGCCATGAAGCCTGGGAACTGAGCAGAGGAGGGGATGCCCCCAGCAGGCCTGAGTCAGCGGCCTCCGGGCCCTGCCCTGAGCCTGCCATCCACAGGGCCCCCCATTCGCCTGCTCTCCAGTTCCCACCCTAACGCGGCATCCTATTTGAGGGAGTCGGGCCGCCATCCCTCGGTCAGGGGAGAAAGATGGCATTCTCAGTGGTGGGAGAAGCAGACGGGAGTGGAGACCTAGGAAGGTGTGGTGGGGGCACGTTAGGGAAGGTGTTTTTCTGGTCCCCAGACTGCCTGGTGCGGACCGAATGGGGGGCGGTTGTCCCATCCTGGCGGAGCTGCCATGCTGGGGGAGGGGAGATTCCTGTCTCCCAAACCAGCTTTGCTGAGCCTTCCAGCCACTGACAGCAGCCAGATCCGGAGCCAGAGCCGGAGCCAGAGCCAGAGCCAGAGCCAGAGCCAGGCCACTGTTCCCCGGGGAGGACCCCAGGCCCGGGAGCCCCTCTGGTTCCCTCAGCTCCTTGGGCTGCGACCCCCCCTGCGCAGCAAGGAGCTCTGGGGAGAGGGGAGAAGGTGGAGGGCGGGGGCGGATTCCAGAAACCTATTAGTTTCCGCTGCGATTTCCATTCCCTCCCCTCGCCCGCCCGCCCGCCCGCCGGTCCCCCCTCCGGGCCCCGCCCGCCCCCGGCGCGGAGGCTTCAGCTTTTGATGAAAAATTGCTCGCGCTCCATTCAGGAGGCGGCAAAAGAAGAGTCACCCCCAGGGGCAGCCCTGGGCTGATTGAAAAATAAGTTAATTTCAGTTTGAATCGATGGGCCTCAGGCGCTGAAATATCACGGGAAATTAAAGCGGCCGCTCCCGCGGGAGCCGCGGCATTGACCCGCGCTAATTAATGCTGGGGAGGCCGCCCCCCCGCCCCCCCGCCCCGGGGGACCCCGGACACTTCTCATTTAACTAATTAGACGGGGAAAATTGGGTGTTAATTTGTTTAGGATTTTTTCCCCCTTCCTCCACCCCCGGCAGCTCCCGCCCCGGCCCCGCCCCGCCCCGCGCGGGGAATGGATGCGGGGCTCGCCGGCAGATGGCTGCCCCGGTCACTCTGCAATCTTCTCAGACTTGATTGCTTGATTAGGTCGTTAGCACATTAAAAAAAAAAAAAATTGCTTGCCGTCTGGCGCTGGCGTGATGAGTGGGACGCGCGGCAGCGCCTGGGTAATTTATCTTTTTATACGGCAAAGAATTTGATTTCCATCTGCAGATATATGGGGCGCCTTTGACACCTGTTTAACGTCGCGCCGCTGACAGCTTAACCCTTTGCTGCCTCCGCCGCGGGGAGGCCCCCGCCCGGCCGGCCCGCCGGCCGGACGGCGGGGCTCGGCGGCGGGGCGCCCCTGCAGTTCCCGCCGCCGCCGCCAGGTGGCAGGAGGAGCGCCCCGATGGCCCGCGGCAGCCCGGAGTCTGCGGCGGAGCGCGGCCCGCCGTGTCCGGCAGGGGGCGCCCCAGCCGCCTCGCCTCGCACCCCCGCTACCCCCCAAACATCCCTGCGGTCCCAGACACGCTGCTGTGGAGGATTGCAGGAAGACCGCACCGTCCACGCACAACTTTAAGTGGACCCGAATGGGTGTAACCGTGTTTCGGCATTTCTTCATTTGTAAATAACGGGAACCTCTGACAATGGAAAAGACGCGGCCTCGGACGTCCCCCGCCACTCCGCCTTGACACTGGCCAGCTCTATTAAAAAACAGTCGCCGGCGCCACTCAGGGTGGGTCGCACCTTTGATACCATCGGCTTTGACACCTGCCCATCTGCTGGGGCCCTCCTGGGGAGCTGAGAAGCACCGTGCAGTGCAGGGCCTCCCCCTGGTCCTGACCCAGACAGCCCTGAGGGACACCTGCCCAGGACAGGGTTTCTGTAATTAGAAGGCCACTCGGTGGCTGTGCTCTGTCTAAAGCTCAGACAGCGGTGAGCAATGAGCCGGGCTGACTGGCCGTGGTCCCGGCTTAGCTCTGTGCTGTGTAGATGTCCCCGCTGCACCGCCTGCAGGCTCTGCCCGCTGCAGGCCCTACCTAGGGCCTGCGATCTGCCTGAGACCCCGTCCTGTCCCATCTTCCTTCACAGTGGCCCTTGGTCACCCTTTCCGAGTACCCACTTGTCTCCAGCTGCCTTCTCCCACAGGAAAAATCCACACTCAGGGCTACGCTGCTTCTGGTGTCATCCGCCTCGCAGAGAAGACAGCAAAGCAGGAGCCCCTGGGTGATGGAAGTCAGGCGCCTCGTCTGACCCCTTGGGAGGACTCTCTTTATGAATCTGCATCAGCCACCTGCTTCCTGATCAGGAGATGACCTTCCTGCTTGAACACGGGGCATTATAAAACGAGGCCACCCCCCTTAGCTGGGCCGTGTGGGGCCAGCCTCCAGAACGTTGTGGATTTTAGAAATAACGGGTGACGCATATACGACGCGTTACGTAACACCCCACAGCCGCAGCAGCAGCACCGTAATCGGACTCATCAGCTCATTTCTGCACTAAAGCCTATCCATACTCACTCTGAGAGAGAAATATAGGGCCCAGTCTGGGTTTTGTCACTAATGAGCGTCGATTCCAAACGTACGACAGAACTTTTCATGTCCAGCACAGTTTGGATTTACAGATTCTGCGGAAAGAACTGGAGTACAGAAAGGCATAGTCCCGCCCCGAGGGTGGGGCCCAGAGGGCGCATTGCCTTGGCTTCCTTGGGATTCCATGAGCAGCAGTGCTGGAGCTGGTGGTGGGCTTTCAAATGCACCCAGCATCTTTACTGGAGAAGGGGGTGCAGCCCTGGCCGGTTTGGTTCAGTGGATACAGTGTCAGCCTGCGGACCAAAGGGTCCTGAGTTTGATTTGGGTCAAGGGCATGTGCCTCGGTTGCAGGCTCCTCGCCAGCCAGGGCCCTGATTGGGGCGCGTGCAGGAGGCAACCAATCGATGTGTTTCTCTCACATCGTTATTTCTGTCTTTCCCTCTCTCTCCCACTCTCTCTAAAAATCAGTGGGGAAAATATTTTCAGGTGAGGAGTAAAAAAAAAAAAAAAAAAAGAAGGGGGTGCAAACTTGGGGTTCAGATCAGATCTGGGGCCTCTAAGAGAACCATTTTCCTGGGCCTCCTAATGTGGGGAAATGAGTAACTGCAGCTCAGACTTCGCCTACCCCCTCCCAGGGGAGCTGGTGCCAGCTGGTCGTCAAACCAGGAGCCATCCGGCCCCCGGGTGATGAGCTCCTGGAACGCCTGGCTCTCTGCAAAGACCAGATGCTGCTCCGATTCATGGAGGAACCTGAACGGCCAAAACAATTTCTTTTAAGGACAACTGGCAGGGAAGCCGTGGCGAGGACACCTTGGAGGGACGTGGGCAAGGGATCAGAATTAACCCTGACCACTCTTCGTGTTTACCTTTCTCTCCCTTCCCCGGAAGCAACCAGCATGTGTGCACGGAGCGTAAACGTTCGCCAGAAGCCCTGAGGTGGGCCAGCCCTGCACTGGCATTCCCCGCTCTGACAAAAAGTGCTGCGTGGTCTCGGCCCAGTTCCTTGCCTTCCCTCAGTCCCAGCTTCTTCGGACGTAAAATAATAATACCTCCTTTTGCCAAAACCGGTTTGGCTCAGTGGATAGAGCGTCGGTCTGTGGACTGAAAGTCCCAGGTTCGATTCCGGTCAAGGGCATGCACCTTGGTTGCGGGCACATCCCCAGTAGGGGGTGTGCAGGAGGCAGCTGGTGGATGATTCTTTCTCATTGATGTTTCTAACTCTCTATCCCTCTCCCTTCCTCTCTGTGAAAAATCAATAAAAAATATACTTAAAAAAAAAATAAGAATACCTCCTTTTCAGGGTTGTTTTGAGGATGAATGACATAAGTGAAAGTGCCCCGAAGCACTGCTTATCACACAGAAGGTGCTCAATAGATGCTACTTATTATCTCAGGGGAGGCGTAGGGAGTCTGCGAGTCCTGCCCAGGAGCAGGGCTCATCGGTGGCATTGCCTGCCCCGCTGGCCTCCTCCACATGCCCTTTAGTGAGGCCGGACTGACAAATAAGAACAACAGCCCTAAACGGTGTGGCTCAGTGGATAGAGTGTCGGCCTGCAGACTGGAGGGTCCCAGGTTTGATTCCGGTCAAGGGCATGTGCCTTGGTTGCGGGTGCATCCCCATTGGGGGTTGTGCAGGAGGCAGCTGGTCGATGTTTCTCTCCCATCGATGTTTCTAGCTCTCTGTCCCTCTCCCTTCCTCTCTTTTCATACAAAGCCAGGCCCTCCCAGCTCTCGCCTCCTAGACTCCTTCCCAGCATTTGGGCCCTTTCCCTACTTGGTCTCTTGGTCCCAAAATATCCCTTCCATCCCGCTCCCACTCACTTCCCGGACTTCCCACTTCCTGGAAGACCTGCTCCCGGCCATGGGAGTTGGGCTCAGGACTCCTCAGGAGGCCCTCCCACAAGGACGGAGCCCTGCCTTACC